ATGATATCATTCAAGACCCAGATTCCTTTCATTTTTCTGCTCTGCCAACCTCAGCTATTGACTTCATCCTCTGGTCCCTCATGGTTTCAGGTTGGCTGCAGTAACCCTAAGGTGTTGTCATAGCAGAGGTAAAATGTCTTCAGCAGATTTTCTTTCACACCTCATTGTTCAGACTGGGTCACATGCCCATACATAAACCAATTAAGGCAAGGGGATGTGTCTACACCATGATTCACTTAGACCCTTGAAGACATTAGCCTGAATCACATAATCACATGGGTGATGGCTGGGGCAGGGGGGATGGTGGATACATGAACAAAATTGAATAGAAATAGAGTGCTCTTTGCAAGGAAGAATGGGAGAATGCCAATGAGATGTGCATAATAAAATGTGACGTATAGGGATCCCTAAAGCTAAAATTAAGAACCCTTTATGTAGGATCTTGAAAATCTCTGCCTGTGTCAAATTGCAGCCCTGAAAGCTATATTCTCTGACTACATGCATTCATTTTGTTCTATATAGAAACCTGGTCAGGACTGACCCCCAACCTGGAGACTAGAATCCAGTACAGTCTTGAGAAACTAGCTACCATGGCATGGTAGGAGTTAAGGGGAGGGAGGATTAATCAGAGGCAAGCAGTGGCCCCCAGGAAGTGGGAGCAGAGACGTAGATCCATGAAGGAGAGCAGGATCTAGCAAGGGTGTGACAAATGGAGGCTGTGTATGTGAGCTCTAAGGGAGATCAGGTTGCAGAGAACCTGATGACAGAGCACTTTGAGAAATGCAAAGCAAATACAGTGTTCCAGCTCTTCTAGCCCCAAACCTGACAACAAAGGAGTGCGTGGCACAGAGCCCACTGACGGGGTACAGTGCAGGGCTCTTGAGATGCTAGCTTTCCTCCAGGCTGGCTCCTCTGGGTTCTTAGGTGTTCTTGGGAATGGGATTGGTGGAGCATGCAGTTAAATGGATGCTCATTTTGAAAGTAGTAATGCAGCTCAGGCAGGGCAGGAATTTATATACACTGAATGTTAAATTGTGGTTTTGTTAATGTACTAGTGTGTCCTTTTACGGCAGGTCAGGATCAGAAACAACTCTATGATATCTACACTGAATATCAAACTTCTGTTGTCCATTTACTCTTCACTGTCCTCCACAGTCTTCATGACTTGTTCCTTCAGGTCTTCTCCTCTGAGAGCTGTTCCCTGGGCCCTCATCTGTAGCTCTCAGTCTCCCACCACCCTTTCTACCCCCCCACACCTTTCTTTTTTTACCTCATAGCCCTTTCTGCTACAGGAAAATTTATTTACCATTTCTTGTCTTTTTCCCCCCCTAGAAGTAGGCTTCATGAAGATGGGATCTTTACTTTCTTGCTCATGTTTTATTACCTCCAGACTGAGAACATACTTGTAGTAATGTAGCTACTCAGTTAAGATTTGCTGGATGAGGGGAGCCTTGCTGGCCCAGTCAGTAGAGCATGTGAGCCTTGATCTTGGGGTCGTGAATTCGAGCCCCATGTTGGGGGCAGAGTTTACTAAAAAAAAAAATAAACAAAACAAAAAAACACTTAAAAAAACAAAGGCGAATTGGCTGGATGAATTAATGAGATACCTCTTGATGTTCTTCCTAAAATTTTTCTCAAGGACTGTCTTTCTTGTTTATGATTGGATCCCCTGGCCTACTGTACTGCCTAGCACATGATTCCTTTTCTTTACCACTCATTTTTAACTCTAAATCCCTACGTTGGTAAGCATTCACTTGTTTGTTATCTGCTCTTACCTTTCATCCTGCAATTTCCCCTCCTTACGGATTTCCAAACTGTGCCTTCCTTCCCAACAAGGAAACTTCATTCCTTTCACGGCAATAGCCTCCCTCCAGGGATGGTAAATGTGTGCTCCTCCTTTCCAGTCTCCTGAATCTTACTCCCCTGATGACTAAACCGAACATGACTCATTAACTCATAGATTCCTTTTTTTTTAAGATTTTTTTATTTATTTGACAGAGAGAGACACAGTGAGAGAGGGAACACAAGCAGGGGGAGCAGCAGACAGAGGGAGAAACAGGCTTCCCGCCGAGCAGGGAGCCCGATGTAGGGCTCGATCCCAGGACCTTGGGATCATGACCTGAGCCGAAGGCAGACACTTAACGACTGAGCCACCCAGGCGCCCAACTCATAGATTCTTAAAACTGGAAGGGGCCAGAGAGATTGGTCTTGTCTAAGTGCCTTATCTCTAGCTGGTCCAGAGAGGGGAAACAGATTGCCCAAAGTCACACTGCTAATTGATAGCAGGGCCAAAACTAGAATACCCATCTCTTTTTTTTTTTTTTTTTTTTTTTAGATTTATTTATTTGAGAGAGAGAGAGAGATTGTGCAAGCAGGGTCAGGGGTAGAAGAAGAGGGAGAGAATCTCAGTCAGACTCCCTGCCGAGCACAGAGCCCGACCCAGGGCTTGATCTCAGGACCCTGAGGTCATGACCCAACCTGAAATCAAGAGTCAGACACTTAACCAACTGAGCCACCCAAGTGCCCCCAGAGCACACATCTCTTAACTCTCACACTACAGAACGAGCAAGTTCCTTTCTAACTCCAGAAAGGAAAAGTACTACAACAAAAGTAGAAACATATGTTTTCCTCTTAGTTGGACATATCTTAAATACAATCAGTATATCATAGGAGTTAAGTGTCAAACTACCAAACTTTGATCTTGGGTATATTTACTCTGTGGACAAGATATTTAAACCTTCTCTTTTGGGACGCCTGGGTGGCTCAGTCGGTTAAGCATCTGCCTTCGGCTCAGGTCATGATCTCCAGGTCCTGGAATCAAGCCCTGCATCAGGCTCCTTGCTCAATGAGGAGTCTGCTTCTTCTTCTCCCTCTGCCCCTCGCCGCAACCCCACTCATGCTCTCTCTCTCTCAAATAGATAAATAAAATCTTAAAAAAATAAACCTTCTCTTTTACTATATCCTTCCTATTATTTTTCCATACATTTGTATATTTCATACATTTTAATCTATACATTTGGTTTGTTAATAGTGAGAGAAGTTGCATGTGTGCATTTTACATACACAAATGGAATGATACCGGTTCTATTAGTTCCTTTTGCTTTAATAGTGTCTTAAGGGACCTTTCCATATTAGGACATATAATTCTGTCATGTTCTTTTTAATGACTGCATAGTATTCTGTAATACATATGTTTATTTAACCACTTCCATATTAATATTTAATTAAATTTTTCTCATTTTTCACTATTAACAATTCTGCAGTAAAAGCTGTATGCAGATACCCTTGTGCATATATGTGGCTACTTCTTCAGGACTGATGTTCAGAAATACAAATACTAGGTCTAAGAGTAGGCACAAAGTCCCCTCTCTTCTATTCTGGAAATAGGCTATAGCTGAGTTACCACTGACTCAATTTCTGTAATATGTGTTAATGTTAACTGGGCAGAGGGTGAGTCTTTGCCCAGAGTATATTAGGAACTGGGAGCATTTTAGAGAAGCTTCTCCTTCATCTTTAATCTTCTTGTATGGAAAATACATTGTGTTCCTGACCTTGAGGGAAAACAAAATCAAGACAAGCCGCCTCCTCCTCCCCATTCCAGAGTGACTGAGATGAGTGAAATTGGGCTCTCCGAGCAACCTCTGCTTGATTCTCTGCTGGCATTTGGGCATTGAGCACACAGTGCTGTAATTGTTGGTACTTACCCGTTTGTACCCACCTCCTAAACTTTGGGCTTCTTAGAGGGTAAAGATTATGTTTATGTATTTTATCCCTAGAACATTAGCATGATACCTAGCATGTAATTTTGTTTTGTTGAATAAATTAATGAATTCAATTCAATGTTAGCATTTGTTGAGTACCTAGCACATACAAAGATTACTAAGAACTGATGGAAACAAAGTTCTACCCTCAAGGAATTTATGGTCTAATGAGAGAGGCTGCAAACATGTGGGAATCAAGGCATTAGTGACACTTGTGATTTAAGCCAACGTGATTTAAGTTCAAAGAACTGTGGGACTTCCCAGGAGGACTAATTAAGGCCAACTGAGGAAGGTTTCTTAAAGGATGTGGCTTTTGAGCTGAGCCTGATAGGCCAAGTTGGTGGGGTTTTTGTTGTGTGTGTTTGTGATTCATCATTTTGATGATTAAGAATAGAAAAAAGAATAGATGACTATAAACAATGCTTCAGAAACCATTTTGTCACCTTATTGATATCATGTAGCCTTAGGGCTACAAAAAAGCTAAAGGTGGAGTGTTACACTTGGGTTCTGGAACTAGAGCCGCAGAACCTAGATCAGGACAAAACAGCTTTAGCTCTTGGCATACCTGTGGAGGAAGAAGTTGTTTCCATATATAAAATGACAATTCTGAATGTCTTAGTGTGCTATTTCTCCTCTCTTCAAATAAAACAAAAACCTCTCTTGACCCCCGCTTCCTTGGCCAGCTGCCACCCAATTTCCTTGATCTGCTTTGCTGAAAAACTCCGTAAGTGATCTTTCCATCTGCAGTTCTTGCATTCACTTAGAGTCACTTCTCTCGTGCTCTCACCCCTGCCAGGCCATCAAAACCATTCTCGTCAGGGTCAACGGTGACCTCATTGTCACTCAGTCTTATGGCCAATCATTAGTCTTCTTCCTACGTGACATTGAATATTCTCCCAGAGCATGATTTCTAATGGTTAAGCAAGTACTCTGAAAGTATAAAATACCATACAATATACCATGATAGTATCATTATTCCTTCTTTAAAAAAAAAAAGAAAAGATTTTATTTGTTTATTTGAGAGAGGGAGAGCGAGCATGAGCCGGGGGAGGGGCAGAGGGAGAGGCAGACGCCCTGCTGAGTAGGGAGCCCGACATGGGGCTCCATCCCAGGACTCTGGGATCATGAGCTGAAGTCAGATGCTTAACTGACTGAGCCACCCAGGTGCCCCTCATTATTCCTTCTTTAAGAACTTGAAAACTTATTTTTAAAGATTTTGATTTTTTTTTTCTTCTATAGGGGACATGGTCTCAAAATACAGAGAACCTTTGATCCACACCTTCCTGAGGGGTGCAAGAGATCCAGATAGTGCTCACAGGGCCAGCAGCTTATCAAACCTTGGAGAACTGTGCCAGAGGCTGGACTTCCTGCTGGGCTCCGTGGTTCATGAGGTGATACATATTGATTCCTCTCTCTAAAACTTGTTTTTTTCTTGGACCTATGATATAGCTGGGGATTGGGAATCAGATCTGTGTTTTTTTTTCCAGATCAGATAAGTTGTTGAACTTCCCTTGGCCTCACTAATCTTGTATGTATATTGAAAGTTCTAGTCATAAGAATTTTTTTATTGCAAGTGACAGGAAGTCACCTTAATTTACCTTGTGCATTAAAAGAGGATTTGTTACAAAGATTCCAAGATAGCTAACAGAGTTGAAGACACCTCAAGCAAGAGCAGATGGAACTTAACCCTGGGTCTGTGTGCCATCTGTGAGTTTCATCTCTCTTCACAGAAAAATCTCAGGCAAATATTCTAACTGGCCCTCTTTGGTCAGAGGTGGGGGATGAGGTTATTTACCTCAAAAGACTAATCAAGTTCTATGTTTTGTTGACCACTTTACACCCAGTACTTGGTACATAGTACATAAAAGTTGAATGGGCAGCCCTAATAATAGCCATGCGGGATGTTGGCACTGGACACTCCTGGTTTTAGAGTTTCTGAGTTGATGAAATGGGCATCTTGCTGTTGTCCTCTATGAACATCTTCCTCTGGCCTCTTAGGTTTTATATTTGCCCTTGTGTTTATTTAGTCATCAATTTATTAATATATGTCTTGACTATCTACTGTGTGCTAGGCACTCTGCTATTTAAAGATGATGCTGGACAGAAAAAGACTAGTTAATATGTGGCCAGGAATCTTTTTATGACCAACACACTTGACTGTCTTAAATCTTTATTTGGAAGAAGATGGCTTGTAAGTTATAACTATATGAATAAAACACGTTTTATATTTATTTTTTATCTGTGAGAGCTCAGATTTCTCATATAGAGCACATAACTTTCCTCCAACAAAAACTTACGAAACTGTAATAATTCTGGCTCCTTCTATAGTATTCAGTATGCTAAGGCTGACCATTTTGAACAGCAAATATGAAGAAGTTCCTAGTGAGAAGGAATTTTCTTTGATATCTCACGATTGTGTCTTACGAATAAGCAGAGAAATACATTCATGGATATATGCATACACTTGAATTTATGGCATTTCCTGATTCCTGAGCTTTATAGGTTTTGTTTTATTGATAATAAAGGCTATTCATGTCCTTAAATTCCAACTTCAGACTTTTAAGAAATTTATCCATCAGTCATTTCCTCTTCTTTAGCTCTTCCATGAGGGACACACCCCTATTCCCAATTTTTTGTACTTTTTTCTTTTTTTTTTTAAGTTTTTATTTAAATTCCAGTTAACATAGAGTGTAGTATTAGTTTCAGGTGTAAAATTTAGTGATTCAGCGCTTAGATACAACACCTGGTGCTCATCACAAAAAGTGCCCTCCTTAATCCCCATCACCTATTTATATATCTTTTTTTAATAACTTAGAAATAATGATTATTGGGGCGCCTAGATGGCTCAGTCATTAAGCGTCTGCCTTCAGCTCAGGTCATGTTCCCAGGGTCCTGGGATCGAGTCCCACATCGGGCTCCCTGCTCAGTGGGAAGCCTGCTTCTCCCTCTCTCACTCCCCCTGCTTGGGTTCCCTCTTTTGCTGTCTCTTTCTGTCAAATAAATAAATAAAACAAATCTTAAAAAAAAAAAAAAGAAAAAGAAATAATGATTATTACCAACTTCAAACCTTAGAGTACTCTAATGTATGTGAACCGTTAGGTACGTGATCTTCAGTGGTTTTGGATGGTGCTTAGCAAATCTCTTGTCCTTTAGTATATGAACTTGTAACACTTAAGAGAAGGCATTTGCAGGTCTATTTTATTATATTATCTAAAGATTTTAGCCTGTTAAAACTTCTCTGGGTCAAATATTGAAGTGGTTCCCGCATTTTTTCTCTTTACTCGGTCTCTTCACATGACTCAACCCAAACTGAACCATAAATCGTGATCTGAATCAAACCCAAATATTTTTTTTAAAGATTATTTATTTATTAGAGAGCAAGCAAGAGAGAAACAGCATGAGAGGGGAGAGGGTCAGAGGGAGAAGCAGGCTCCCCGCCGAGCTGGGAGCCCGATGTGGGACTTGATCCCAGGAGTCCGGGATCACGACCTGAGCCGAAGGCAGTCGCTTAACCAACTGAGCCACCCAGGCACCCCAAACCCAAATATTATCATTATCTTTTTTTTTTTTTTTTAGAGAGAGAGAGTGAGCATGGGGGTGAGGGAGGGACAGAGGACTAAATATTATTTTTAATAACAGCTTTATTGAGGGGTGCCTGGGTGGCTCAGTCAGTTAAGCATCTGCCCGCAGCTTAGGTCATGATCCCAGGGCCCTGGTATTGAGCCCCTCATCGGGCTCCCTGCTCAGCGGGGAACCTGCTTCTCCCTCTCCCTCTGCTCCTCTCCACCACTCATGTTCTCTCTCTGTGTCTCTCTCTTTCACTCTCTCAAATAAATAAGTCTGGAAAAAACAAACAAACAAACAAACACAAAAAACCTTATCCCAGATCTCCGGGTGGATCAGTTCAGGTTTGACAGGATTCCATACATTTTCTAAAACCAGTGACCCCAAACAGTACCTGAACCTCATTGTCTATGAAGCAAAAAACAAGACCAGGTTTCTTTTTTTTTTTTAGATTTTATTTATTTATTTGAGAGAGAGAATGAGAGCCAGAGAGCACGAGAGGGAGAGGGTCAGAGGGAGAAGCAGACTCCCCGCCGAGCAGGGAGCCCGATGTGGGACTCGATCCCGGGACTCCAGGATCACGACCTGAGCCGAAGGCAGTTGCTTAACCAACTGAGCCACCCAGGCGCCCGAGACCATGTTTCTTTTTGAGTCTTAGACTCTTCTTCCCTTTTTCTCTCTTAAGGAAACTGTAGCTTGCTACAGCAAGCTGGTGGCATATGATTTCCTATCAGGGCATTAGAGAAATTTCTTGGTTTGATTGATTAGAAAAATTGAGCTAAAGCGAGTTTTATAACATTCAAGAAGTGTCATCTCTCTGGAGACCCACCTGACCTTTTGAAAGAGAATGCAATTTCCAAGCACACTTGGGGATGGGAATCAGTGAGGACCTAGCTCCACCACCTACTTACCTGCGTTCACTTGAGCACACAATTTAGACTCTGAACTCAGTTTCTGACTTACAAAATGGGATTAAAGGGGCATCTGGTGGGCTCAGCAGTAGAGTGTGTGACTCTTGATCTCAGGCGTTAGTTCAAGCTAACCCTCCCCTGGGGGTGGGGAAGGTAGGGATTATTAAGTGGAAAGGGGGAGATTAAAATACCTACACTGCAGGATTGGTAATCAGGATCTAGGGATAATGTATATGTGGAAAATAAAAGGTAGAGGAGGATAGGGTGACCAGCATTATAGTGTCAGGTGGAGGGGAGGTCGCAGTGTTAAATAGGGTATTCAAGGTCAACCTCATTTGAAAAGGTGACATTTGAGTAAAGACTTTTTTTTTTAATTAAGATTTTTTTTTATGGAGCATTTTGGTCATTTGAAGGAGGCTGATGATGACAGTGCCAAGCACTGCAGCAAGGAAATGAGAGAACAGGGATAACCAACATCCTTCACATGTTCCCAGTTGTACATTTACCCAACACCTGCAGTGTGCCAAGCCCTTTGTTAGGGGCCGAGGTTACAAAACCACCCTACAAGATACCACCTTGCCTTCTAGGCATGGGTAACCTAGTAGAAGACACAGACATCAATGACTACAGTTGCTATCCTTTGTGATAAGTGCTGTAGGAGCACATTTTAGGAGCCCCTCAGTCAGGTTTGAGTGTTGACGAAGATGTGCTAGATAGAGGAAGAGACCCTTGGACCTGAATATTTAGAACAAGTAGAAATTGGGTAGCCCAAGAAGGCGTTTCCGCAGAGGGGACAGCTTGTGCAAAGGCACTGAGCTATGGGACAGCCTGGCATGTTTGAAGAACTGTTAGAAGATCCGAAAGGCTGGAGTGAAGGGAGGTGGTTGGGAGGTTAGTTGGTGGCAGAGCTGAGGCAAGAGAGGCGGGCAGGGGCTACATCATGAGGGATCTTGTTAGTTTTACAGCTTCCTGGCTCACAGCAAGAATCTGGGATTGCTTATTAAGCCTTCAGAAATGAAGTGTGAATAGGTAGTAGGCTGTTTGCTTACCATGGGTGCTAACATAAAAAGGGAGCCCTTCGTTTTGTTTCTACCTACACATCCATGTGAGGAGCTGCTACTCTGGGGGCATCTACCTGGCCAGCCCCTTTCGCACTTCTTGAGACCTGGACTCCCTGAAATATGAATCCTAGGCGTGTTTATGATCACTAACAAACTGTGAGCCCAACGAGGGCAGGACCAGTCTTTATTTACCTATGCATACCCCCTAGCATCTATCATAGTGCTTGGCATATAGTGCGTGCTCAGTGTCTGTTGATTAATATTGAATGAAGAGGAGGGTAAGGCTTATTTGGGAAGACTGGTTCTTACATGTTTTAAAAATAGTAATAATAGCAAGCACTTAATACTTTTCTGAGTACCTTGTATATGTCAACGGATCCATTTCTCACAAAGGAAACTGAGGCACAGAGAAATAAAGTAAATTGCCAAGGTCATACAGATAGGAAGTGGAGGGCTGAGATTTGAATGTAGGCAGGTGGTTCCAGCATCCATCCTCTTAACGATACTCTGTATTGTCTCCCAATAAATGTTTTCAATTCATTTATAAGATTGCTTTTGTGCCAAAAAAAAAAAAAAGATTGCTTTTGTGCCTTAAACAGGAACAGTATTGCCATATAAGTAAAGCTACTAACAGGAAGGGTCATGCAGCTCCTTTGCTTTTGGCAATGAAACTTCAGAAGGCTATATATTCCCTCTGATTTGAAAAACCAGGTGTTTCCATCCCACATAATTTCTGTCTCTTCTTTTTAGATGTTCCTTCTTATGTAGCATCCCACGCTTGCCATGTCATCAGTGCCAAACCAGCTGCCTTGGGTGGAGTACAAGTTTGAACATGGTTGGACACCTGACAGCCTT